AGGTCCTTAGTGTTCTCTACCGACCTAAATTGCCCCCCCAGCGAGTAAATTGGTTTAGTTTTATCCTTTCTATGTGTAATACGCATGACCTCGCATTTATCCGGATTGAAGTGCATTTGCCATTTATTTGCCCATATACTCAATCGATCTAGGTCACTCTGCAGGGCAGGGATATCAACATCTGGCGAACTGATTGTTCGGTAGATTTTAGTATCATCTGCATAAATCTTAACAGTAGATGTCAAATCTGTTGAGATGTCATTTATGTAGATGATAAACAAAATAGGGCCAAGAATTGTTCCTTGGGGCACCCCGGACTTCACTGACGTTCAATCCCAACACTTTCCTCTAATAACAACGCGTTGCATTCTGTTTGTCAAAAAATGTTTAAACCACTGCAGTAAAGGCCCATCTATGCCGTACCTATTCAGCTTAAGCAATAAACGCTCGTGTGGTACACTATCAAAAGCTTTGGACATGTCTAGAAAGATAACGTCAGTAGGTTTAGAACAATTTCTAGCTTTAGCCCAGTCATCAATATTAATTAGCATTTTGTGTTAAAAATGATAGTTGATTGTAAACAGTTATGTTTCCCGTAAACTCCAACCCTAGTTGATAATTCTTCCGTGACTTGTTACTTATTTTTCAAAGACGTCAAAACTAATTGGCATTATCTCTCATTCAATACAATTTGAATAGAATGCCAGCGCAAATGTGTCTTTTTGGTTGTTTTTGTTTGAGGCTTGTTGCCTTGTGAGTATAGCTGAAATGTTCTTAAATTCTTAAATAGACCTTACATGGAGCAGTTTATGCGACTTTTCAAGTTTTCCATGATCCGGCAAGTTAAAAACATTTTGAGATGTTCACGTCATTTTTAGATAATTCTTATACTTATGGCCAGGGGCAAAGTGGATTTTGGGATGACCTTTGCACTCATAAAATCTAAAGAAATAACATAATTCGATAGTTTTTTTCACCCAAATCAAGTTTTCCTGCCAACTGTGGCACCTCGACTTTAAATGAATTTCGCGATACCTTACATTTATGGGTGAGGATTTATCAGGCACACTAAGAAATCAGAAATCATTGTTTTAAATCTTCTTTGCGAAGTGATTTGATTTATGTTGATATGCCATCCCCTTAATCAGTAAATTGAATGGAAGAATCCACTAGTCTTGATACTCTTTAATGCCCTACCAGAGCTAGAGAGAGTGCTGACTGTGCTTTCGAGTGGAATCTGTGATTACATTATGTGCTATACTTAGTTGCTATACACGTAAAACGTGCTTCATTACTAAATACATTTATCAATTAAGTATGACTTAAAACTACAATTCCGTTTCTGGTGATACTTATAATGTAGTACGTAATAATTTGAAGCATGTAAGTTACATCACCTAGCTAAAGTTCACGTGTGAAACACCGTGTAATGAGTTCAATTTTCACAGGGTGTTTATAACTGTGGTTATCAAAATATTTTATTAACAGTTCCTCATTTGTATGGATAATAACCTTTTTTTCACGTGAAAAGCGCGTGAAAGAAACATGGACGGTATTTGGAAATCAGCTAAAACTCTGTTTAGTATTAAATGATGAGGATCGAGAGGACTCAATATTGCCAGCTGGTTTTATTCTCTTTCATTTAAGTGTAGTGAGTATGTTTTCAAAGCAGATCGAATTCCATCTTCACCCTCTTCGATACAGCTGTATTTCAGAGAATGATTGCTTTTGATCACGACACATATGGAGCTTATTACCTACCAACCTTTTCACAGATTATAACTTCAATTTCTCTCCATTCTTAGATGATTTTCATTCCATACACATTCGTGTTTATTATGCTTCTGATATTGAAATGGCTTGTTTCCACTGATTGAATGAACGTAATTTGATTTATTTTTTCATTATGTTAACAGATATCTTGCAATGTTTCTGCGAGGTTTACTAATGTAAATCCCAGTAGCTGGTCAGATCCAATGCACATCACGCAACCATTTTTCGCTGGTATACAGGTAAATAAGCCAACGTTATCTAAATTGCTTCAGGACCATGGTATGTAAGGTCTCGTTAACAATGCATTCAAAATTGGCTGACTTCAATAATTGAAAAGTAATATCTAAAAATTTCCTTTAAAAGTTTGATATCTCACTGAGTTTGTTTGTTTGTTTTTTTTGGGGGGTATTTTTTCTCCATGCTTCACGAATAATCCTTCACAGAACCTTGATAGCTGAAGTGAAGTCTGAAAAGCCAAACGCTGCCAGTGAAAATTGAGTGTGGATCGCTCCGATAAGCTTCCCACGTGAAAAAAACATGATATACGACTCCTGATTGGGCATGAATCGTTTTCATCCCTTATAACAGAATGCGATAGGCGTCGGATGATTGAATCGCGGCTTCTTGAACCAGTTAGAGGATGCAAATTTATTTGGAGCCTTTTCAGTATATTCTAAGTACTGGTTGACCCAAGTAGAATTATGAGGCTTAAAAAAAAAAAAAAAAAACCATGAGATGGCCTAAAGAAATAAATGAGTGAAGTTCAGTAGAACATATTTTACGTATTTTTCAGGTCTATCCCACTACCCTCATCATAAAGGAATGTGACACCCCTAAGACTATCACACTCACTCCAACAATACCAGTGCGCAAAAATTCCAAGGGCTTCTACCTCTTTGTGAAGTTCTTCCTTCCTCCTGGCCTATGGATCATGGGTGAAAAAAACTGTCATATAGAAATGAAAGAAACCAATTCTGTTGCAGTACAGATCGGGGCTACTTGTAATACCCTCCGTGGCAGTAAAAAGCTGAATGTTATCACTCCTAGGTTTACCAACCATAACGATAGTGATTTCTGGGGTTTCTTCGGCTTGCCAACAATCTGGGTAGGTAATCTTTGTACTAATACTCAAGTGTGGATACAACGTGTTCTACTTGTCGTTGAGGGCTCTCTCCAACGTCTAGTTACTTTGTTACTCGGTTTCACGCAAAGAAAAAATTCACTGCCGGTTTCCATATTTTCCTGGGGAAATTTTCACCTATGTTAAGGTCGTTTTCCAAAAGAGAGAACCCATTTTGAGGTACGAACAAAGTACATAAACAGAAACAGAGTGTCCGTGGGCCACATTTTTATCAAATGTGTTAAACAAGTGCCTGAAACAGCAGTGGGACAAGCAGCGATACTTTAGAGATGACAGATGCGGTGCTTCTGCATTTTTTAAGTTCTCCATTAGCTCCCTCTGGGATCGAAGATAAACAGAAATCAAGGAGAGAGCTTAGATCGTCAAAAAAAAAAAAATCAACAAAATATTGACAAACACTGCGGTAATAAGGTATACTGGTTCTTAACACAGGGGTGTGCGATTTTGCTAACTACATTATGCTTTCGTAAATTGCTTGAGAAGTACTACTGAAGTTCTCCTTCAGTAATATAGCAGCTGATTAGGAGCAACTAAAGATTTCCCAAACAACGGATTGGCACTGAAAAAATCATGTGTAAGCTCTACCCCCATCAACCCTTCAAGCTGAGAAACGTTTTCATTCAAGTGAGCACCCCTGCGATATTTATATGTCCGTGTATTACCAAGTTAACCAGAAAAGAAAAAAAAAACTATATGTAAACTACATGAAAGAGGTTGATAGCCCTTTTTAAACTTTTCTTATTGCCTGCGTCATTCAAATTACACCTGTCAAAAACCTTGGCGTAGAAAGCGTACCGTGTAAACAAGGAAACTTTTCAGAGTGCTACCGTCAATCACTATATTTTCCTAGTTGCCATAAAAAGAAGAAATTTATGATTCTAAACAAGTAAAAACATTTTATAACATGATAAAGCCACGTGAAATTTCAGGTGAACACGAGTTGTTTGCATTTTGCTCTTTGGTTTTAATTCGTTTCGTTTGCCTCTCTCATTTCCCTCCCTCCCCTCCCCCGTTACATTTTTTACTGATTATTGATAGGGTGTAAGGTGTCCTGTTAAGGTCACAGGACTACAGTTTAGTCGCTACTATATCAGTTTGATCGTCTTTCAATGACCGAAAAACAATGCTTTTGTCTCCCACGGACCTCAGATAGTACCTCAGCCTTATTTACATAGTTTATTTACATTTAATTATCTGCGCTTTTCAGATTACGGTACAACAGAAAGGCACTGAGATGCGTAAATGCAGATCTGTTACCGATCCTCACTATCTCATGATGGATCCAAGGTGGCAAAATATAGTAATACTAATCTTACTCACCTTCAACGGTGTATCACTATCCTTATAACATTTGGTACGTTCAAACGTACCTAAATGCTAGAATACTAAGATCGACAGTTATTCATAAAGGGCCAAAATAAGCAAAATCTTTCTATAAAGAATTTTTCATGGTTAAAGGTCACTGCTCAACATTGTCACAGAGCACTTTCACAGAGTTAGGACAGCTCGGAATCAATTCTCACTAGCAGAGAAGGCGCGTAGTTGAATATGTGTTTCGCAGATAAACAACACCATGCTAGCTTGGAACGCAGCAGTAGTAGTTTCATGATCCTAAGAAAACAAAATTATGGATAAGCTACCGCCACTGATCATACAGGTAAAGGCTAACACCAACACTTGGAAACGTCAAGTCACCTGTCCACCATGCATGCACCATCATTACAATCAAACCGGAAATCACTGTTATGAGAATCAACACAGAGAGCACCGTATCCCATTAATAAATGCAACACCCCCTACCATAATCAACTCTACTAACATTTTCAGCATCAAAGTCCTTTTCACTCATATTTATCGTCCTTCGTCCAAAAGAAATATCCCCTGTTTTTTTTTCTTTTTGTTCATTTGTTTGTTTGTTTTATTATATTATGTTATTTTTTTTCAATCGTTTTGTAGAGTGGGCTGGAGAGATTTCATGGGTCATGGGGATTTTACTTTGTACAGCAACACGGAAAAAAACTTTGAGGTGACATATATCAAATTTTTACAATTTATGTGCCTATTTGACAAATAGAGAAGCCTTGACTGAGCTCCGTTCTGTAGTAAAGCACGCAGGAAGGGGCTAGACCCCGAAAGAAGTGTAAGGAGAAACACTCGACTACGTCTCTTGTTTCTCCCCACTTCTTGAGTGCTTTAGCCGCTTCCTAAGTGCTTTACTACAAAACAGAGCACAGTCAAGGCTTCTCTATTTGTTTTATAATAAAGAATCCGTTAAATTCCTCATGCATTACTTGCAATTTCCAAAAAACTTTATTTTAAAAGCAAACAACAATGTCGTCAGCATGCTCTATATTCTGACAGAGCACGCTTACAATAAGCCAATCAGAATCCTTGTTAGAATGGGAAACCTAATTTGATTGGATGGATAAGACCAAAGCTGTCAAAATGTCAAATCATCAAAAGCTATCGCGAAGAATCGCAAATCTTACTTAATAATTCGAATGCATAAAAGTGCATTTTTAGCGTACAAAAACCAGTATCTTTAGTAACATGATTAATGAAATCCGGCCGAATTTTGGCCCATGAAAACCTGGACGTTATCAACGTGACAATTTGAAAACGAACTGCTTAAAGCTTGTGGTTGGAACTTGACAAACTGCTGCGCCGTGTTGTTCTGTGAATAAACAACGGTCGAGTTTACAGCAGCGGGAGGATTTTCTGATTTAGTGGCTGGATCAGAGGAACTTGGCTGAGATGGTTCCATTCAATGCACCAGAGAGGATATCTGAACAAGCCCTTAGCTGTTCACTTAATGCACGAGTATTGTAATTCCTCAGGCTAGCCTCACAGCGATGACCAGAGATCACCATTATGTGCCGCGATGGAACTTGCGCGGTGGACCACAGCGTGATTGCAGTGGCTCTGACACTATGGATCGCGTAGATTCTTGAAAGAGACGCTAGTTTAGAAATTTCTTTCATCATGATTTCAATTTTGTTGACCCCCAGAGGCTTGTTGTCGTACCCAACTTTATCTTCAGGTTTCACGGTTCGCTTTGGGTACTGAAAGAGTGCTTTGTAGGCAGGATTTAACTTCTGGAGATAGTTCTTGAGGCACTTGAGGACGTCAGAAAGTGGATCCTCTGATGTTGAATACATCCTGGCCTCCTTTTCTACACTGCTGATGTCTTCAATCCCCCCCTGGATGGTTCTTGGTAGCCTCGTCATGGGTCATTGAAACATAATCCCGTCCGTTGTCGTCTAATAAGAACTGGAAGCTTTGCTTCGTCAACTGTCGTAGACCTTCGCGTCCTCGACGACACCAGTACAAGGTTATATGAAGCCAAATATTCCGCAGAAGGCCTCAAGGATTGTCTCCCCGGATTGTATTTGACGACTTCAACTTTTGGAGGTCTGCTACTGGAATTGCAGGTTTGTGTTTTGTATTTTCTTTGTTCTCGCGCTTGTTTAGCTTTATCTGACTCTGAAGGAGCTTGTTTCACGCTTGGAAATCTGTACCTTTTTAAATGGAGATACCCCTGTTAAATGGCGGGTTGTTGAGGTATCTTTCACTTGCATTTCGCAATCCAAGAAGGGTTGACCTTGAATACAATGCACCGTCTTTTGTTCGTGTTTCTGCGTAAAAGTAGCGGAGTTTTAGGTCAAGCTCTTAGTTGTTCATCTCGTGGAGGTTCTTGGCAACTTTTCTTTCACTACACCAAGCTATTAAAATACGGTAACGAAAAAAAAAGATTTTTATTTGTAATTTGGTGTTCATTTTCGAGAGAAAGGTATAGTTGTTGGTTAGAAACGTGTGTGTGCTAGCCAATTTTAAAATTATCCACTTTCCTTGATTGTTTTTTTTTTTGGCAAGAAAATGTAGCAAATGTGCGTCCACTCTATTCGAGGTTTTCCTATTGTATTTATTATATTTTTGCAACGAAAAAACTCACCTTCAAAAACTCGGATAGCCCATTTGGTGAATTGTTTGGTTTTCTTTGTTTCTGCTCTTGTAATTATGTCGTCTATTGCGGCACTTTACATATCTTTTAATCTTTGCCTGTTTAAGTTGCCGCCGCGCTCATTGTTTTCATAATTAACTTCGTTGGAAACCTCACTTTCAGTTAACGGGTAGATCACATTGTCATTGACAATATCCTCTAAATCGATCGACGCTAAAAGCTCGTTTTCTCTTTCGTCTTCCAGGTCGTGGAGGACTTCTGGGTCGAATAAAACCCGAGAGAAAAATTCGGGATTTTGTCCGCCATGTTACAAGTTGGCAGATGGCGTGACATCTTCAACTCCATGTTCTATACTCCCATAGAGCACGCCCTTTCAACCATTGACAGCCCACGTGATATCCGAACTTTATTATAATTATATATCATTAGCATAGAAATTTTGAGTGAAAGAAATTCTGGAGGCCACATTTCAATGATTTTTTTAGTATCAAGAGAGTGATGAATTGCAATTGGCTGCGGAAAGTTTAGACAGGGAAACAAGAAAGAGTGGACGAAAGGAGCAAGTGTAGCCACTTCAATGCCTTCCAAACTTCGTAAAGTCTTCATGTTTCGAGAAATGAAAGCTGTGATGAATGCAAGCGTTTGTAATGTGAATTGGAATTAATTGAATTTACTATCACGATATATAAATATCATAATTTGAAATAATCAAGAGGAGTAATTAAGAGGAGTGTTCAAGGAGTAATAAAGAAGAATAAGGAGTAATTATTCAATCTTTGATTAGTACAACGAGTGCCATATAATGCCAAATGTTTAATCGACAGATTTTTTTTCTTTGAATCAAAATCTTTGTTACCTTGCTTACCTACTTATTCTCAGAACGGATTTTATTATGATTTTTCTTTAATGCATTGTTTCATCAAGGACTAAGATAATTGGCCAACTTTTATCGTTATATTTACGCTAATACTCAATTGGATAGTATCATTTATTTATTTGAAACTAGGCTTTGTTGTTTGCAAAGGAAGTGAATGATTTTAAATACTGTCAAACATATTGAAAAATAATTCTCGAGGAAGCGATCACATTACTCCAAATTTACTGGTGATTTACCTTTTTGCAGGTGCAGACAAGACAGTGGGCCTGCAACAATGCCAACAGTGTAACTTGTAACTGCGGAGTTATATTGCGAGATCATAATGACCTCATTAAGTTTAGCTGTTGCAACCCAAGTTTTACCAGAGATGACTCCACGCCAATAGAGGTTACCATACCTCGGAGCAAATGCCTAGCCCCAGGAATATCTTTAAAACAGCTTATCAAGGGTTTTAACAGCAAGTACGAGGTGAGTCCTTTGAAGGTTTCCTAACCAATTAGATACGGAGAGAACGGATTTCGTCGTAAAGCTAAAATTGTTGTCGTTAGAGGGGAACACTAGGAATAGTTTTAATGATGCATTATAAGTATTATAGTATTAATATTATCAGATACAATGAAATATATGAAGTTCATATAGTTTGAACTGCGGTATTAGATACATATGATACACGATCCTCGCAGTAGATAGCGCTATTTAAGCAATAGCGAAAATCAGACCTGAAAAAAATCAGGCCTGTACGGGATTCGAACCACTGACCTCTGCGATACTAGTGCAGCGCTCTACCAATTGAGCTAACAAGCCAACTGGGAGCAGGCAGTTGAGTTGATTCGTAATAAACCCGTGAAAGTGATAAATCAGATACAATGAGTATTAAGTACAAGTATTAATACTATCACTAGTACATGTACATGTATTATTAAACCCACTTCCAGGATTGCTATACACATCATCATTGTTGCCATTACAACTGTTATTGTTACATTTATTACTTAACAATTAACTATTATTTACCGAAGTGGAGGTGGTTAGTGGTGGATATTTACCGAGCCGCGAAGCGGTGAGGTAAATATCCACCGCTAACCACCGACACTGAGGTGAGTAGTTGTTTTAGTATATACTAAAACAGTGAGATAATATACACCTCTGTCGTTAATTTGAGTGATTTCTTCCCGAGTTGCTCGGAGGTAAATATCAAAAGATATTCGGAATTTTAACTAGCCAATCAGAGCGCGCCTTCAACGCTATCCACTGTTTTATTATATACTAATCAATGTTTTCATCAGCATCATTAACACTATTGTCATATATTCATCACAACATGTCTCTCCTAGTTAAAAAATTGGATGGAATTTTTTTAGTGCCCCATCTCAACTAATGATTAAACCTTCTTTAAAATGTCAGGTTGTATTTCCCACTGGAATAAAGGTTGAGCTAGAGAGAAATTATTGGGGCATAGATGTCACTATCTACGCTCCACTTGCGGAAAACCGAGCTAACGAGGACGGATTATGTAACTATTCGACAACGAATGGTGATATAAATACATTCGGAAACAGTCAAAGGTACGAATATCTTGTACAATCACAGTTCGCCTTTTGATGAGAAACATTTCTCATAATTTAAGGAAAACACAGTTTAAAGACGTTCGCTCGCGAAATTCACTTAGTTTTCATTAACTTTCATATTTATGGAAAAATATCATAATTGTTAAATTTGCAGGCCTTATACAACTGAGGAATAAAAAAGGAATAATTATCTAGTGAATATGAGTACATAATGATAATCGGCAATGATTTGTAGATAGTGAGGTAAACATTTTCGAACATTTAACAACCATTTACCTCGGTGTCAGTAAATCGTGGTGGATATTTACCAAGCCGTGAAGCATGATTTGAACTCATTTAATTCTGCTACGATTACAATATTTTTGGTCACCAAGCACTCGAGCTCACGCAGTGCTCGGATGTGAATAACAGAGAGTACGCAGAGTATGAGTGGCCAATCAGAACGCGCTTTCAACCCAGTCCTCTGTTTCTATCTATTACCTACTCACTTCATTTAACCCTCCTTATCTAATTGACATTAGTAAGTCATTTGGATATCATTTGAAGATTACTTCTTTAGTACTATTATCACCGTGATCATACAGGAAATTTTATTTAATTTCAATCCTCCGACGATTGGAGCAGGCGCATACCTTTTACAGGTTTTAATGAAGTACAATTTAGGGAGTATTCACGCTCAAACACGATTAATTAAGATGTCACGACAAGTCTAAGGCATTTGATTGGGCTGTCTGACTCACTGGAAACTTTTAAAAAAACGCATAAAACAAGTTAATTTTAATAGCGTACTGGACATCGAATGTAAAGACTGCTTCTTGTGTAATAATTGACTAATCATTTTAAACATTTAAATACACAAACATAAATATAAATTTCATATCTTATAATTTTTAAAGTAGTTAGTACTAGGTAGTTAGGTGTCCCCAATTAGCGTACGTGGTACGCTAGAGATTTTGACACGGAAATAAAGTTCTTATTTTATCTTATGTTACGACATCCTGAAATCTCGTTACCATTTTATTGTGTCAGCTTGTGTAAATTGTGAAAGAAACTCCTCGATGGAGCATTCGATAGGTTCGAAAATTCAACTGATCTTTTAACCCGATTTCTAAATAGCATTTGCTCTGTAATTAACTCATGAAATTGTATTACTTTTGTCCATAATGTTCGCTTAATAAAAGATATTATATATACAGGGCTAAAGGATTAAGAAAAAATTATTAAAATGTTTAAACCAAACGTTTTCGGCTGTTTGCCTTCATCAGTGCAGCGCCACATCAATTGAGCTAACAAGCCAACTGATGATGGCAAACAGCCGAAAACGTCTGGTTTAAACATTTTAATAATTTTTACTTAATCTTTTAGCCTTGTATATATAACATCTTGTATTACTTTTGTTGAGTAAGTTACAAGTTCTTGTTTTTCTTTTTTTGTCTTTTTATTGCTTTTCTTTTTATCTTATCATCAATTATGAATAGATATTTGTGCACGATCCTCGCAGTAAAGAGCACTCTTTAAGCAATAGTGAAAATCAGACCTGAAAAAATCAGGCCTGTACGGGTTTCTAACCCCTGACCTCTGCGATACTAGTGCAGCGCTCTACTAATTGAGCTAACAAGCCAACTGGGAGCAGGTCATCAAATTAGTCCGACATAAACCCATAACATGTTATATCATACACAACGAATATGTGAAATTTGATAATCTGTTCCCAGTTGGCTTTTTAGCTCAATTGGTAGAGCGCTGCACTAGTATCGCAGAGGTCAGTAGTTCGAATCCCGTACAGGCCTAAATTTTTTCAGGTCTGATTTTCACTATTGCTTAAATAGTGCTCTTTACTGCGAGGATTATGCACAACTACGTTTCTATAACTACAGTTCAGATATATGAATTTCATATCTTCGTTGTGTATAATTATGAATAGCTCTGTAATACCAAAATGCAACCCATGTACCGTTTTTGTTACAGAAAATTTCCAAGTTACTTCCATAAACTTCCAGACACGATCAACCAAAACAGTGATGAAGTGACGTTTGAAAAGGCTTGTGCTTGCAGCGAAGAAATAGACCAAGGAAGAACAGCTGATTGTCATGATGGAATACCTGTCTTTTTCCCGGGCCCCCCAACCAAACAGAGGCTTAATAGAATACTAATGTGCAACAGGAATGTTAAGAGAGACATAACAAATTCAGATGACCTAACAGAGGAGGATTTTGAGTTGTTCAGAAAACTTGATTATCCAGAACTTCATAAGCGACAAAAACGATCGATAACTCAAATTTCAAAGGAAAATGCGACGCGATATTGCAAGGAAAAACTAGCAGATACAACCGTGGGAAAGCTGTGTGCCAAGTTAGGAACAAATATACAAGCACTAGTTAATGTTTGCTCGGCTGATATCGAGGTAAGTTTCAAACACTCTAATTATGATCACAAGGTAGGGCCGGCTTAAGAGCGAATATTTGAATTGACCGAGTGAAAATCGAAAAATGTGGCACATGATGGAAAAATTGAGAACCTTTATATTTTTCCCAAAGATACCTCATAGTGAACTTAGAAACGTGGTAAGGTTTTTTTTCCCCAGACTTCCTTCTTTATCCTAGAAAATTCCCGAAAACTGAAACGAGCGTCGATAGCCGTAAAATGGCGGAAATCAGTGCCCCGAGTAGAGGCAAATGAACTTTGCTCATGAAAGCGCAAAAGAAAGGAAGTTCGTATCAATTTGACAAATTTTTGTAGGAGGGACCGAGTTATGACTTAAGTCTAAAATGGGACCGCTTCATTTAATTTTGAAATCACGGAACACTTTCAAAAATCGTTTTTAAAAATCTGGAATTCCAAGCACATTTTAGGAGTTAGCACCGTGGTCGATCAGGAAAACAATACAGTAAGCGAGCCTTGCATAGCTAAACACGGCAGATTGGTTTTATCTCTGCTTTCGTTTCAAATTCATTTCCCATGGCGGAATTGTTTACAATAACACATTCCTTAAGCCAGCGGAGGGCGTCTCTTTTTATTTGGGTATTCGAACACCTAAAAGTCCTAAGAAAGTTCTGGAGTAGACTTGAGCTGTATTGTGGACTTGAAAGAGGACAATTAAATCATTTATAATGGCAGGCCAAATTTTCTTTGCCGAAGACGTTAAAGACGGGAAGCAATCTGTGTGTCGATGTGACACACACGCATTTGTCACGCAAGACTGAAATTATTTCCATCTTGTTCCCATCTTGTTCCCATCTTGTAATTCTACGGCCACGAATATCGATGAATAGCGTTTTTTAACAAATTTGTTTATTTGATAATATTTCTTATCAGTTAGTCATTCATGTGAAACTTATTAACTTAGCAGCGGGGATCTCATGTAGAGTTGAATGTAATAGTGACTTTACCTGGAAGAGCTAATAGCAGAACAAAAAAAAAAAAAAACAAATAGCTGCAGAAAAAAGATAAGGGAAAGGATCAAAGGTCAGAGTAAAGGCGAAAGATAGGCAAAGTACGAAATCATATATTGGAATAGGAGAAGAATACCAAGTATGGAGCTGGATGAAATAGATAGGGTGGATTCTTAGACTTGAGGATAAATGTATGATAAATAATGTGCCATTTGAAATCAATACTACAAACAAAGAATCTTAGCTGAGTTAAGAACGTTGTTCCCAAATTGAAAGTTCTGGTTACAAAACTCACGGAAATTGGTTGGGCTGGAAACTGTTCTCAAATTAAAACAGCTAAGTCGAGAAAAAGGTAATTCTTTTGATATTTCAGCCAATACTATTTTAGCTAATGTCGTGCCGTAAAGTCATTTCTGAACACCTCATGACTGTCGGCAATACCGATGTTCAGGCCGAAATAGATTTAATTTCAGATCGAGCGCCAATTCTTAACACACTTCCAGCAATCAGTCTAGATCACCAGTTCCGGGCATCACTGCTTTTTAGGCGTTGGATAAAGGAGAGGGTCACAAAGATGCCGTGCATTCTAGAAGAGTTATCCAGGCATGCTAAAGGAAAAACGCGTCTTATCGCAGAATTAGTAAGGCACTTTTGAGAACAATTCTCTAGCTAACCATTTTTGCAGGTTTTTTATTGTTATCATTTCAAGGAGGATTTCCAAAATGCTGCAAAGCGTCGGTCTAGTCAAACTGCCAAAATGGCGCGGCATGTTGTTCCGGATTTTCTTTAAACTTGTGGTTTGCTCGCAGAGACTTAGTGTGTCAGCCTTCTTAATTACAGAGGCTGTGGAAAGGAAGACACATGAGCAGTTGCCGCAAAGAATAACTCAGTTACTAACTAAGCGCGAGGGCCGTAACGAGGATTATTGGCCCAAATCGTGGTAGTATGGAGCGAGCGCAGCGAGGTCTGTACAAAAATACCGAGGGCCAATGTTTCCCAATATACCTCAAGCAAGCGATGTTACTAAGTATTTTATCATGGCGTTCGGGAAAACTTCTTAACTTTTAATTTCTCGGCTTTCGCGAACAAAAATATACGGCTTATGACCGCTTCCGTGGAAATGGTCCGTATGGAAAAATCCAGACCAGGTAAGAACTAATCAGAACGGCTCGGATTTACCTCAAGACTGTCCTGCCATATAGTAAGTTGTTAGAACCTTGAAGCTCGAGATATTTTCCTTAATAATTTGGAAATATATACAAAGTTGAAATGGTAAATTGGCCACCGTAACGATTACAAAAGCTGACGTTTCGAGCGTTAGCCCTTCGTCGGAGCGAATAGAGGAATTTTGGGCTGTGTGTGGGT